CGGGCTCAGGCAATCCACTCAGCTCAGCCTCCCAAAGGTGCGGGATTACAGGCTGAGCCACCAAGCCCCGCTTAAAACTGTGTCTCTAAATAAAAAAATCAGCTGGGCATGGTGGCATGTGCCTGTGGTTCCTGCTACTTGGAAGGCTGAGGTGGGAGGATTACCTGAGCCCAGGAGGTCCAGGCTGCGGTGGCCGTGAGCGTGCCATTGCACTCCAGGCTGGGCGACAGAGTGAGACTCCAACTCAAAAAACAAAAAATAAAAAACAGGTTCAGAACCTGGCTTCTCTCCTCCTCCCACTCCCCCAAGCCCCATGAGCCCCTCTACCCCAGCTCAGCCAAAGAACCGTGCTGCTCTCTCTGCGGGGCTCTGAAGTGACTGCAGCACGGCGCTTGGCCTGGAGCCCAGGCTGACTCCCAGCCCCCCACAGGTGGCCATCCAGCTCAATGACACCCATCCCTCCTTGGCCATCCCCGAGCTGATGAGGATCCTGGTAGACCAGGAGCGACTGGACTGGGACAAGGTGGGCGTCGGGGCCGCCACCCCTGCCTGACGCTCTCTGCCTCGGGGTTCCCTTCCCAGTTTGGGGGCTGGGAGGACAGGGGAGGGCGAGGCCCGAGGGGTGGAGGGGTGTCTGGAGCCTGGCCCGGCAGGGGTGTGGGCTGCGCCCTGACGCCCCTCCCCCTGCCAGGCGTGGGAGGTGACAGTGAGGACCTGCGCCTACACCAACCACACGGTGCTGCCCGAGGCCCTGGAGCGCTGGCCCGTGCAGCTCATGGAGACGCTGCTGCCGCGGCACCTTCAGATCGTCTACGAGATCAACCAGCGCTTCCTGAACGTGAGCTGGGGGCGTGGGGGGGCGGGGGAGGAGTGGGGACCCAGGCCGGCCCGGGGTGGGGGCGTGGAAGGGGCGTCCGGCAGGGTCCCGGGACCAGAGCCCCCGGGGCTGCGGGGCCGAGAACCGGGCTTCCGGGGGCCGGTCCCAGCTCTGGGCTCTCCGGGCACAGCGCGTGGCGGCCGCATTCCCGGGGGACGTGGACCGGCTGCGGCGCATGTCGCTGGTGGAGGAGGGCGCGGTAAAGCGCATCAACATGGCACACTTGTGCATCGCGGGGTCGCACGCCGTCAACGGCGTGGCTCGCATCCACTCCGAGATCCTCAAGAA